TAGGTAGTTCTCCTCTAGGTGCATTTTGCGGGGCTGTTTTGTGGGTATTCGGGTTTTTTTTTGTTGCTGTTGCTTTTTTTTCGGGGGGTTGTTGTGTTGGTTTTGTGTTGTCGTGGTTTTTTTTAATAGGGCACAGAGGAACACGTTAGTGCACAGTGCTGAGATGGGTGATGTGGTCTCTGAGGCAGGTACCCAAACAGCAGCAGTCGGTGCAGCTACAGATCTGTCATTCTTCCTGCTAGCGTGAGGTTTATGTGCCTTTGCGAGGAAGGTCACTTTTTACCCTCTCCCCCCTCAACAACCCACCCTCCTCTTGCTAAGCCGTGCATCAGCAGCATGAGTTCCAAGAAGCAGTAGGTGTTTCTTGGCATTTCGACTGGGATTTTGGAAAGGGAAGCCGGGTATTTAATGGGAAAAGATTGCAATGGAAGGAAGGGATGCGGAGGCTGCTCACAGCCCAGGGTTTGCAGGCATGTGGAAGTTGTTGAAATAGGTAAAGGGTCGAAACTGGCACTTGGAAAACGGTGACTATTGCTTTAGTTACTTATACCACAGAAGAATTTAAGGGAAAACTGGGCCACTAAGAATTTTTTTCTGGTTTGCAGTTTGCTGTCAGCAGAAGGTAAAACATGTCCTTGAAGATATACAATTTTACATAAACAGCCGATGTTTACATAAGCCTAGATAAGTTTGTGAGAAAGGCAGAGAGCAGAAGATGCGGTGTTAGCTGAACTCGGCTATCCTGCTATTTGTCCCTGCAATAATTCATCTTTTCTTTTTTTTCCTGTCGTATTGTTGCAGCGTAAGAACAAAGTGAGCAGCTGCACCTTCACCAAAGCAACCACCTGCGTTCCTCCTCTCCTCTGGAATGGACAATGGGATGGTCTCTGACTTTATCATGATCAAAAACTTCTTCCTCTTCTGCGTTTCCATGAGTTTAGCCAGCCACTTCGGGTGAGTTGCCAATTGTGTTTGAATTTTTGCTGTGGGTTTTTAAAGGAAAAGACAAACCTTGGCTCCGTGCGGAGCTGCTGAACGAAACAAACGGGCTGTGTGTTTCATCCTAACGTGCTGGTGTCAGGGGGAAGGGAGTGAATTGCTCTCCTCTTCAGATTTACTCTCTCATATCAGTTCTTTCTGCCTGCAGTGCTGTTGTGGGAAGGCTTGGGGGGCACAGGGAGCTCAGACCAGGCCTACAGCTGCTGAGTGCTCTGGTTTAACCTGCCAGGGCTGTGGTGTCCCCTGTGCCTGTGGTGCAGAGCTTTTGCACCTTCCCTCTCACCTGATGGGAGCAGGTTACAGGCAGGAGAGCAGAACAGCACCAGCAGTACTCTGTGCAGTACTCTGTGCCATGCTGCTCTCTGGTACAGGCTTTCCTAGTGGGTAAGATAATACAGGGACTCCTCAGAAGGATATCTGAGTTTGAAACTCGTTAGAATAATTAGAAATTGTGTTTCCCTGAAGCATATAGCAAGGACTCCTGTTTCCATATTCCTGCTTTGGATGCTCTTCTGACAGTGATTTTCTGAAAACTGTATCAAAGAAATACTCCTACTAAAGCTCTTAGAAAAATGAAAAATAAAGTCAGAAACCCTCTATTTATATGTTTTCCCTATACCCAGAGATCTTAAGAACTTTCCAAAACTGAGCTATGCAATCGAGTCTGGAAAAAGCGTTTTGCAAGTGCTTGGGAAAACGTAGGTTGATTCTTCTTTGTGGAGGAGAACAATTATTTATGATTTCACCAGAAAAAAATGAATCCTCCCAACGTGCTGATTCACAAGCACACCCATCAATTCCTTGCTATAAGAAGATATGAAATGGAGATGCAAATCAGTTTCTGATTTCAAGCAGAGTGATTTGTTCCAGATTGGAACTAGGAGAAAGACCAAACTTTGAGTGATGACTGTCTGTGCTGTAAGCAAAACTTAGCCTGGTCTGCAGCATGTGTTCTGTGTAGGTAGGTGGAAGCCTGTGACCACAGCAGCTTATGTGAACAGTTGTAGGACTGCATACTACGAAGGATGAAAGAGCTGCACACTCATTTATTCACCTTGGAAAAACTTAGTCCTGCTTGCACTGTGGTCTAAGGCAAAAATCCCCCAGGACTTTGTGAGAGAAATGAAGAGGGAATAGATAGTGTGGCTTTAAACTTGTCTTTACATGGTTGTCATTTGACAAACTATTTCCACATTGAGAAAATCCTGACAACTATAACCTTAAGTCCTTGATTGTTCATCATCCCTGCTGAAGGCAGCACATTGAAAAGAGTTGAGCATGACCTTCCTGGTGTATGGGTCTTTTGACTCTGCTTTTCCTCTACCAAAAGAATAGATAGGCAAGGATGCAAAAAAACCCCACAACAAACCCCAAAACGAACAAAAACCAGAGGGTTTAACTCTCCCTTTTGACTCCAAAGCAAACACTGAATACAAGTCCCAGGTAGGAATCAGTGTGACCTGTAACCTGGCAGATAATCAGAACAGGACAGTTCTGGGAAACTAGGACACTTGTTTTCTGTGAGTTAGTCAAAAAGCTGTGCACTAAAATGAGATCATCACATAAGTTCCCCCCACCGCCCCTGCCCCCCATTTCTGATCTAGTAATTTTAGTCTGAGCCTGCAGAAATAAGCAGCTCCAATTCACTGCAGCATTCACACACTGCCTTAGGGCTGAATTCTGACCCTGCTCAAAAGACAGAGGATGCTCCAGCGCTTCTGTTTCAGAGGCAGAAGCAGTTTCAGAGTGTAATTTGCTAAGTGCTTTGGGACTGACTCTTCAGGACAGAGCGGTACAATTAACACGTAGGCTGCTGTATTAACTGCAGGAATCTAATCCTGAGAACACTTGCTGTTGCTACTGGGTTCTTCTTTATTAGCTTCATCCATGTTTGGACTGCACTGTTATATTGCAGTGCATTTTGCAATGTGCTAGATAAAAGTGACTGGTCAAAGGAGCACAAATTAAAAACCAAAATACAGTAGGACAGTACAGATGAAGACAGAGATTTTTCTACAGTTCTCCGTAGTCATTCCATATTTATATTAAATCGTAAATACAGTTTTTGCTGACATAGCCAAAGCCACCTTGGGGGATTTTGATGCACAATGCCTCATAAAATAAACAGAAATTATGTATCTCAATCTCCTAGGCTACTTGAGAGATCTCAGCAAAAGTCTGTGATTAATGTTTAACATAAATGTGTAATGACTATCGAGAATTATCCACATTAATAGGCAGTAGAGAAGGACTGTAGACTTAGTTGGTAGAAGTTATTTAAAGAAAAATCACTGAATTAAAACTCAAATATATAGATGAACTGAGAAGAGGATGTGAAGTTCTCCCCCCTCCTCTGTTTGTGGGTTTAACAGTTTTATGAGCCTGCAGAAAGGATCCAGCACGAGTCGAGGCTTTTTCACGCTTGCTGGAATTCAGCCTTGAGTTGTATAATGCTCTAATGAGCTAAAGTATTTTACTTAAGAATTTCAAGAGAGTTCACAAGTGTCTCGAAAGTAAACTTTAATAATGGAGCTAGAGAATGATGAAAAGTCAAATATAACCACGAAGAGTGTCTCCAGGTGAGAGGAGAGTCTGATTGCTGGCAGACACTGGGGAATGCAGGCAGTGCAGCCCTGGGCTGTGGGTGTCACGGGTGGCTGTGGCACACACATCTCCCCGAGGTGGGGTAGCCTGTGCTCAGCCCCACACTGGCCAACCTTCCCATGTCCTGAGTCTTGCTCTTTTTCCAGCCCTAGACCACCCCTGAGCACCTCACTGGGAACACACTGACGGTGCACAGTCCTGGTGTGTTTGCATTTTGGATATGCAATTGCAGAAATCTGTCCGAGAGCCAAACCCAACAGGGACGGACATTGCTCATGTACCCACAGTTTAGTTGCCATCTGCTAATAATATTTATAACAGTAGAAACACAGAGAACAGAAGATCCCAATCATATGTCGCCAACCTAATGTTTCTCTGTGCACGCTAAGAACTCAGTCCGTGGTGTGTCTGTGGTTTCATATACTGCTCCACCAGCTCACAGCCCTTACCACTAAGACCATCATCCTGGTGTTTAGACTAAACATACCTCTCCTTCAGGCTGTTATTTCAAGGTAGTGTCTGCAGCCCTAAGCAGTTCTGCTGGGATATCCCTTTTCAAGTACTTCCCATGCTGGGGAGCTCTTCCTCATATTTTTAAGGCTAATTTTGTAAGAATTATCATATCCTTATGCAGTCATGCTTGTCTGTTTATTTTTTAAGCCTGTTTTTCTTTCCTTCTCTGTATCTCCAGAGAGCTTTTTGAACCCATTAGACAGTTTTAATAATTGGAAAACCATAGTGGGTACCTAGAACTGCCTGGAGAAGACAGTCAATGCCTCTGCTGAGCAGAAGGCTATAGCTTCAGCATCTCTGGCCTGCCAGTTCTGGCCCAAGAGCAGGCAGGTCCCTGCAGCCCACCCACCCAGCATGTGCCTGGGGCAGGGAGAAACCACTCAGTGCCTCCCAGTGAAGCTGCAGGTCAGTGAGCTGGGGAGCTGAGAGTCCTGGGAGATGTCTAAAGACCCTGCGAGAAATTTAGGACATTGAAGGAGGTGTTAAGGTGCAAGGGGGTGAGGACTGTAAGATGTGACCCTTTTGCTTCTGCTGCACTGCTCACAAATTGCTCATGCACAGAAGGTAGCAAAATACTGCACTAGCTAACTAAAAGAATTCAGTTGTTCTTTAAGGATCTGAAAAGATGATTCAAGTTTCATCGTTTTAGTCAGTCCTCTCCTCTCTGTCCTAATCTAATTGAATCTTCATTGCCCAGATTCACAAAACATCAGCATTTTGAGATCTCAAGGATCCATAGGAAAGGGATGGCAAGAAGCTAACTTAGAAAAGCGGATCTATTTCCTTTGGTGTCTGTCCAGCTGGCAGGACCCAACACTTTGCAAGTGCATTCTCCACTGTCTTTACCACAAACTGTTAATTTGTCTGAACTTCTGATGCAATTCCAATCCTACTAAAGCAAGTTATTGGAAATGCTACTCTCCTAAGAGAGAGAAAAACATATCTTTCAATAGCAAAATACTCCTTGGTTATTTTCCCATCATTTCTTACCTTTTTTTAAAAAAGAAGTTTGGGGAAAATCATTAAATATCTACCATACATTTCCCTCTTATTACAACTAAGCTATGAATAGTACCTGTCGTGATTTTGACTAGATGGCAAAAAAGACAGTGATGTTTAAAATGGTAAACGATGAACTCATTGGAAGAGGTAGCTGAGCATCTTTAGAGAGTTATTCCATTTTACATTGATGGGCCCCTTCTGTGGCTTCTGATTTTTTTTTCAGTTACCCTGGAATTGCAATATTAAATAAATGTGATGAGAAGTATTCCTGGTTGGTTTAGTTTATGTTCAATAACGAGCTTTAAATGCAATTATCTCTGAATTTTCTTAGCATTTTCCTAAGGTTCTTTTCTAGGTTTATTTTTATCCATAGCTGAAAATTTCTGCTATAAAAACATTTTTCACTGCAGAGAGGCAATAATGTGCTTACCTACTAATATGTTGATAAAACCTGATCTTTAGCTGTGTGGAAGTAATTAGTTCAGGGCAGCACCTGTTTTCTCTCTATTCATGGAGCTGTACAGTGTCTAATATATTCATGTAACTTTGCAAGTACAGTTGAAAGGTCTTGTGTCACAGCAGACAACCTCAACCCTCACACCAAAACACGCATTGCACCAGAAAGCTCAACGACAGAAATGAAACACTTACTTCCTGTGAAAGAAAAAGTAAAATTTGCACTTGGAGCAAATACCAATCCATCTACACAAGCAGCTTCACATAATACTGGAGTTTTGCTGAAATTCAGCACCAAGATGCCTTCTTTTTTGGGTGAAAGGATCTGCCAATTCTAAATTGGATTGCAGTTTTGCAGAAGAAGTGCAGACTTTTCATGAGTCTTCACCCTAGTTGTTTCCCCATCTTTTTCCTCTATTAATTAGGTTTCCTTGTGGAGATACAGAAGTATTTCAGTGTATGGGGTGTGTCCTATTCTTGTGAAAGATGTACATAGCTGAGATAGAAGGAAGCAGCATCAATGACTCTTGTTCAATTCAGAGGAGCAGTTATGCGAACTAAGTGTATTTTGTCCCATCCCCACAAAAATAGTTCAATGGAAATCTTCCCTCTGAGTTCAATTGGCTTTGAATTCAGCCATAAGCACTAAAAATAACAAGCTTTGTCAAGAGCAGAGAAACTAGTGAAGCTTTGTGTCCTGTGCCCCCAGCACCGTATCTTTGCATTAATCCCAGCTCCACATTTTGGTATCCCTTGTTCCCATCTCCCACTGCAACACCTACATTGTACTTCTGCTATCCTTTTCTCCCAAAATCTTTCCTAATCCTGCAAGCATCCTGCATATCTCCTAATGATCAGAGAGGAGGGGGGCTGGTCTCGCTGAGGCTGTTTCTGAGCTACAGGAATGCTTAGTGGCCCAGTCCGTGAGCCAGAGGGAATAGATGACTGCTGACCTCACATTTTTACTTAATGAGGCACTAATTTAGATCACTCTCCCCTTGTCTAGTCACAGCTTCTCATGAAACTTGTAGGAATGAAATGAAGTTTGATCTCTCTGCTTCTTTGTCAGATGCAGTGTAAAATTAGAACGGGTTCCTACGTTGGTATGGTGTAGCAGGCAGACAGCATGATGCATATCTCTTTCTTATGAAAAGAAGAAGATAAAATAGATGAGAAAAGTTGAAAACAGCATTCTAGGTGTATTGGGTTTGTGTGGTTCACACTATGATTTTATCAAAGTGGTGTTGTGCTCACTGCATGGAAAGAATATCTGTACCTTCTGTCTCCTGTTTGCATTTGTTAGGCTGCTACTTGTAAATATTCACCTTTATGTGGTGAATCCCTTTGATTAGGATTGCCAAAAAAGTGCACAGCATTTTGTCTTGAATGGTCCAGTGTGCAATGTCTAATGTTTCCATAATCAGTTTGTGTCTGCTGAATTAACTTTTATTATAGCCAAACATGTTTGTGATGTCTGCTCAGTTCCTCGCTAGAGTTTGTGATCACAGCAGAGAAAACAGAATTCACTTGGTCTTTCAGACCATGGGATAGCCTAAAAGTGGGTAAGATTTGCAGCTCTGCCTCTGTCTGCAGTGATGGGGAGATCCCCGACAGCCTCATGCTCTGCAGTGTGGAGATTGCTGAGGGTCACAGCAGGAGCCTCCTCAGCCAGGGACTTCTATGGCTTTGGTGTGCAAGGAACCAGACCTGTGCCCCCACTGCCTGGCCCCACTGCCCTGTCCTGAGAGGCTCTGCAATCCTTTCCTTGTCAGCAGAAGCTCCCAAACTGTAAAGGGAACAGATGCAGGACTGGAGGTGCCCATGTCTGTGAGCTGTATGTGGCCAAGAGGAGCTTGTTCTGAGCCGGGTCTGGCCTCACTAAAACTTTCAGTTCCATTCCATGAGTGTCACCAAGGTCCCATTAGTGGAAGTGCTGTGCAGGTAAAACCAGGTTGAGATCCCTCATCTTTCTTTGGATGATTCCTGCTCCGTTGGGTAAGCCACACATGTCTGTTAAAGCATTCTGCAAGACAGAGAGATGCTCTGAGCCTCTCTGTTTATTTACTGATTTATTTCCCTGGGGAGTGGTAGTAAATAAACATGGATCCTTTATTTATTTATTTTTCTCTGGGTGACTGGCTCGCATCTAGTGCAGGCTGCTGGAATGGGAATGATTCCTGCCCACTGGCAGGGTCTGGTTCCTAGTGGGGTGATGTGCCCTGTCACAGCTGGAGCATTTCTAGGTGATTTCAGCAGAAGGTGAATTTTGAGTAAGCGCCGAGTGTGAGCAAACTTGCTGCCTCAAGAGCTGCTTATTGCTTGCTGCAGGTGAAGCATGCTCATGGATAATCTCCCATGTTTATTCCTTAGGTAAGCAAAGGCATTAGTAGGCAGGGGATTCTACTAAGCATCTTTAAATGAAAATCAAACAGATTTAAAAATGCAAGTTGTAGTTGTGCTGTGAGCTGTGATCAGCTTCCGAGGTCTGAGCCATGGATAAAATGATGAAATAAAAAAGAGCTCAGACTAAAAACAAATCTGGCCCAAAAGATATGGAATGAGGCCCACTACACATTGCTGTTATTTGCATACTACAAGGGAGAACTAATTTATGCAAAAGAGAGAGGAGGAGTGAAGAACTGTGTTTTCTGTACTGCAGTGTGTTTTTCAGATACCCCAGTGATACCCCAGTGGGATTTTTGAATATAGTGGGAGTTTGTTATCCTCAAATAAGGTTAGAGTTCATCCTTTGTTCTGGCAATAAATTACATAAACTTTGGAAATTAGAAGCTGTTTGGCATTTAAGGATTAAACAGAACCTTCAGGCAGACTTGAAGGTGCATCCCCAGGCAAACCCATGCTGCTCATGCAGCATCTCTGCTGGATGCTGTAGTTCCCAAAGACTGGAGAGCTAAGCTAGGGAAAACCAGTAACATCTTTTGCTGGCCCTGTGAGCTGACCTTGCTCCCTGCTGCGGATGGAGACGTGTCAGCACTGGGGAAGCAGTGGGGCTGACGTGGGACAGGGCAGTGCAGGGGAGGGGGATCTACCTGTGTGTCCCCCAATCCTTCTTTGGGTCCTCTTTCCCCAGGGAGAACTATTTACAACTGCTTCTAGCAGTGATGAAACAGCAGCTCCCTCTCCTATTGAGCTGGAGCAGCAGGACAGAGGTTCAGAGGCTCAATGGCAAAGTTCCCTTGAAGCCAGCATGGCTTTTGACATGTTTCCTTTTGTTTGCATAAAATAGCTTCTCCCAAACGCCAACAGCCTCAGGAAAAGAGGACACCAATGATAACATCACCATATTCACCAGGATCTTGGATGGTCTCCTGGACGGCTACGACAACCGACTGCGCCCAGGGCTGGGAGGTAGGAGAACTCATTCCCTGTGCTTGGTCCCCCACTGGACAGAACCACCACCTACATGATGCCCTCTCAGATGAGAACCTGCTCTTCTCTTGGATGAGAGACTTGTGTTTTATAAACTAAACAAAGGCCAGAAAGTAGATTTGTCTCCTAGCAAATGGGGCACAATAAAAAGATGACTGAAAGTTAGATTCTTTCAGTCACTGAGGTCGTCTGAGGTTGGGTTAGGAGAGCATCTGTGCTACATTTTTTTTCTGTAATTGGATACAGTTTGGGTTTTTCTTTCTGGTACTTCCTAAGGTGAGCGAGACAATATGCTAGCAGGTTGCTGTGAGGTTCCCTTTACTGGTCAGCCTGTATAAATTTATGCTGGTGACACATATCTCTTTTAAAAACAGATCCCCAATCCACCCATTTTTAGACAACTACAGCAAATCTGTATTGATATGTCATTTTGATAACCTCTACAGGAGCTATTTTAGAAGCACAGCATGTGAATAGTTGGTTGCCATCCTAACCTTGTTGAGCCCGCCTTCAGCTCTCTATCCCCCAGATTTCTCTCATCTTCTACCCATGTGTAAACCATCTGTTATGTTTCTTCCTGGCCCTTTTTTAATCTGGCTACCCCCACCCCTTCCTCTTATGAGACCAACACATTGCTTTCATCCCTTTCTCTCCTTCTCCTCTCACTTTACACAGAGATGCTTGAAAATAGGGCTCGATGCTCTTACCTTATATAACGAACTTCTGAAATTTCTTCCCTTAAATTAAATTAGTCCTGGATTTGACAAGATGCCAGAAGGACTTAGAGACTTGAGGGCAGAAATAATTTCACCTAACTTTGGGCATCTCTAATACAGATCTGTGAAATCAGGCAGATCACCCAAGCCAGCAGAGAGTCCTTCCAAGATAGGTTTCACCTCACGCTGTAGTAGGTGTGGAATATGTGCTGGCAATGTGTGCTCACAGACCAGAAAGCCATTCACATCCTGGGATGCATCAAAAGGAGGGTGGCCAGCAGGTTAAGGGAAGTGATTCTCCCCCTCTGCTTTTGTGAGTTCTGTGTCCAGCTCTGGGGCACCAGCAGAAGAAGGACATGGACCTGTTGGAGTGAGGAGGCCACCAGGATGGTCAGAGGCTGGAGCAGCTCTCCTGTGAAGACAGGCTGAGAGAGATCTGGGGTTCCTGGGAGACCTTAGAGAAGCCTTCCAGTTCCTAAAAGGGCTTACAGGAGAGATGAGGAGGGACTCATGAGGGAGTGCAGTGATAGGATAAAGGGTGACAGTTCTAAACTGAAAGAGGGTAGATTTTAGATTAGGTATTACGAAGAAATTCTTCACTGTGAAGGTGGTGAAGCACTGGAACAGGTTGCCCAGAGAATTTGTGGATGCCCCATCCCTGGAAGGGTTTGAGGCCAGGCTGGTGGGGCTTGGAGCGAAGTGGAAAGTTTCCCTGCCCATGGCTGGGGATTGGAACTAGATGATCTTTCAGGTCCCTTCCAACCCAGACCACTCTGTGTTTCTGTGATCAAACCCTGTCAGTCAGAGGGAATCACCCTTCAAGGGTCTGTTTCTCTCTGATTATAAGAAGGGAGCCTGGACTCCCAAGGGTCGACAGCTACATTTGATCAACGATGAAATGCCTCCTCAAGCATCTTCTTAATTTGGAGCTTTTGGGGATTTTTTAGTGATTCAGAAATTGTTCACAGAGAAATGCATCACAAGTATGTATTTGCATCTTAAAGCAATTACTAATGCAGAGCCTATATTTATTACAGAGAGAATAACTCAGGTGAAAACAGACATCTATGTTACCAGTTTTGGTCCTGTGTCAGACACAGAAATGGTAAGTTAGCATGTGGCTGCCAACTCTGTTGTGTTTACTTTGCTGAAGGAATTTTTGGAGCCACGGCTTCTATTCAGATCCTGCAATACCTTGGCTGTCTCTTTGTGCCAGGAATACACCATCGACGTTTTTTTCCGCCAAAGCTGGAAAGACGAAAGGCTGCGATTCAAAGGACCTATGCAACGCCTCCCTCTTAACAACCTGCTGGCCAGCAAGATTTGGACCCCAGACACTTTCTTCCACAATGGCAAGAAGTCTATTGCTCACAACATGACAACCCCAAACAAACTCCTGCGCCTGGAGGATGACGGTACCCTGCTGTACACCATGAGGTAGGAACAGGATTGATTGGTGCTGATTCCCAACTAACTCTGCAGTGACTTGTGGGGAGTGTCACTTTCTCCACTGCTAGTAGATCCAGGCAACCAGCACATATATTTATGTGAATATCAAGAAAAATGGAAAATGTAATTGCTGCCCACAAGTACCAATTAATTTGTAGCTTCTGACTACTGCTAGTGCTTAAATATTTCCTTTGATTAAATGGAAGGCATATTCTCAACAGATCTGATGATTCAGTTCAGCTTTTTTATGAAGATCTGTTCTCTCTTACTGTTTATATTTGCAGCTGTACTGCAGACTGCAGGAGAACAGTCTCCAGGACCAGAGACTGAGACTCTGTTCTGGGGCAGTACATCTTGAACCCTTGGAGGGTTTTTGAGTTGTTTTTTTTTCACATGACTAATAGTTCTAAAAAGCAAATGATCATAAGAATAAATAAAATAAGCTAGCAGTACTGTGAAGCTGCTTTAGTAAGTACTATCCTGAAAACAAATTTGGGACATTATATTGGCAGAGAAGCAAATTGCTGTCTCTGATCTTCAGGGTCATGCTCCTCATCTGATTAGAGGATACTGTCAAGCTTCATCATTGCATAACCTAGATGTTAGATATAATATCAGTGATGTTAGAGGATTGTTTGAAATTCTTCTCAGGCCAAATCCCACACTGGTGTATGGCAATTTGCTCATCAGAGGTAATTAGCCTGTAGTAATTAAGACTGCTGTCTATCTTCAACAGGGTTTTCTCCAAGAGCATAGTCATTTGGACAACACTTGAAAAGGAGATGAAAGGGAAAAACCTACTGAGCAGCAAAGTGTCTTTCTGAGATTTTTGCACACAAGCCCAGAGTGGTGCCTGAGACCCTGCAAAGTGCTCAGGGACCTGAGTTGGGTGCTGAGCTGCCTGAGTTTTCAACAGGCAACCCCCAACAAAATGCAGGGAGCTGAGCTGCTGCTGCTGTGTGCTGCTGTGGGGACACACAGTGCAAACCCCAACCTCACCCATGGGCCCAGTGCTTAAGGGTTGTTGGAGGTCATAGGGATTATCCTTTCGTACACAGGCACCTGGAGCTTCCCAGGTTTTATTTCAGGTCTTCTAAACATGTTTTATTTATTTTGGCCCCATCCTTAAATCTCTTATTCTGAAAGGAAAAGGAGAGATAAGGTATCCTTACATAAGTCCTTGCAGCTTTAGAGCATCACAGTTGTAACTGCACTAGCACTAAAAAGACCTAGACATCATAGAAGTTGTGTTTAAAAGAAGAAAAAACCACTCATTTTCTCTTCTACTATTATTTGCTGTTCTTACTAGCCCCCAGTTAGTGATCACCCCAATAATAAACTGAAACTGTGAGAATACACAGACACACTTAAATGAATAAATGTCAGAGTAGCTATCAGAGAAACTTCATTTCACAAAAGTATGAGTAATGCCAACCTTAAAATCAGTCTCACTGCTGCTTGGACTACATTGGTCCCACTGCAGAGACTGCTGCAGTGTCCAGTCCTGGTTAGCTGTGTGAATTACTTGTAAGTCCAGATCAGACTCACGTTCAGCCTGGAGCAAAACACTAGGTGGTGTGGCAGGTTCATAGCTGACATGCTATTTCTGTGGAAGCACTGGGTGAAAATGCAGAGAAGCAATGCTACATGAGGTGAGGAGCTCAGCCACCCTAGCTGGCAGAGTGAGACTTGGGTGAGCAAGCCCCAGGTGAGCTCACTGCTGAGCCTGAGTTACTCTGTTGAGGTGCCTCTCTGGGGACCATGGCAGAGCATCGTCAGGTGCCACAGGTACCATCCTGAGGAAAAGCTCAGCACATGCAGCTGGAGAAAAATACAGGTTTGATGCAGACATTCCCATTGTCCCATTCAGTCCCTTTCCCCTGGTTTTCAGTGGGGGGTAAGCTCTTTGGGGTTGGTGATTTTGTAGACTACAGCAAGAAACAGAATACTTTTGTCACCTAAAACACCATGCAACATAACTTTGTTTGAGTTTGTTTGTTTGTTTGTTTTGGTGGGTTTTTTGGTTTGGGGTTTTTTTTGCTAGAGTATTGTATGGTTGTGCAGATGTGTGGAATAAAATTCCCACTAACCATGGCATGTGTGATAAGAAATGGAACACAAAGATTTTTAAATAACTTGCCTCCTGCTATTGCCAGTAATAACTTTAGAGGGTCTATCCTGTTCTCCTGAGTCAGGAGCCTGTTTTTATAATGTGCCTCTGAAGGAGCACAGGAGTTTTTCATGATGGGTGTTTGCTGTGCCATGAGGTGGCTTGAGTTGATCCCAAGCTGTGCAGAGGTGGCTGTGCCAAGCAGACAGGCACTTCAGTCACTTCAGCTGCCTTGGCATGTCCTGGTGAAGGTACCAGCTAAGCAGAGTTACCTAGGATGGCTTTCCCTAAGGAGAATGACAGCTCTGTGCTTGCTGAGGGGGGAGATGCTAGTCTCCGTGCTGGTGCTCTATGAAGGTACTGGGTCTGGGTTTGGGCCCCGTTTCCTGCAGCTCTCATCAGGCTTCCTCAGTTCTCAGGATCTGGGGATGTGTAGACAGCCCTGTTAGCTCTGTGTTCTCCTCGTTTCCAAGGAGGAATGGAGAGCTTCCCAGACTGTACGTGGGAGTGATCCGTGTGGGGAGGATTGGACCCTCTGGCATTGACGGAGATGCCTGAATTGCTTTTTCTACCTCTCATCTGGCTGCCTGAATGAAGAGGAGGAGAACAGCCGAGCCAACACTGACCTTCATCCCATTCCACTTCCAAATATACCAGCATGACCAGCTGAGCAAACTTCCAGCTTTAGCACTTGTCAGGACATACGTTTTCATGACACATGTGTTTACTTATAAAGAAAAATATACTCTTCACATGCTGGATTGGATGATATGTTGTCTAGGTCAGAAGTTGATGGGATGTGTGTTGCTAGGGAAATCTGATAAATGGGTTTCTCTATACGTGCAGCATTACAACCCTTCTGCATGAATATAGGAACACAGCGTGTTCTGCAGACAGATCTCATGGGCAGCAGCGTTCTCTGTGGGGAGCTTAATAATTCTGGCTGCCTTTCACTTGGGAGGAGCTATTAGGGGTTTAATTTCTGCTAATGAGGTTTACAAATGATTCGCTGCTGAATGGAGTGTTGTAAGTTCTGTTTCTGCCCCTAGAGGGAAGTGTTGTCTGTGGCTCCACTTCTCATTTTTCACATTTTATTATTTTTAGTAAGAGCATTGGTATAAAAAGCACTAGCAAATATACTTCGTGTTTCACCAATATACAGCGAAAACAGCCTTGCGAATGGAGGCAAAAACTAGATTCTCTCCTTCTAAAAAGTTGAAATATTTAGTGAATTTTATCTGAGAAATAAATGTAAAAAGCATGAAAGTCGGTTATTCCATGAAGCTATTCTGAAAAATTGGAACAGTGATTTAAGCAACATTTTCAGGCTAAGAAGAGAACCATCATGTTTCAGTGAGCTGTATTTTTTTTTCGCTCAGTAGGAATTGGCTGTAAAGACAGAAGCTTTGATAAACTTTGCAGTAGAATGCCAGGGAGAAAAAAAAAAACCTGTGAAGAAGCACAAATTTATATAAAGTAGAACATGCTCACTAGAGCTAAACCTTTGGACCATGAATTAACTTTTCAACAGCATCTCATAAACAGCTTTTAATGATTTTCTATCAGCTTGTAGATATTGAAAAATCTTTCTTGTGCCATCACAAGGGTTGGTCTCCTTAGAGCCCCATTCTCATGGGCGTTTTGAAAGGACCTCAAAACCTTTTTGCTACCACTGGGACTTCCAGGCACCTGATATAGTCCGGGATTTTAAAGAGGACCTGGCTATATATCTGAGGAGTGTCCAAACAGATCTTTTTTCCCGTGTTATTCTGGCGACTGAAGGTTACCAGAGATCCTGAGAGTGTTTACAGTTAAATCTGTCCCAGTAATCTGCACATGAATAATTTATCAGCCAGGGACTGCAGACATTTTTCAGTATGATGTTAAGAAACTCTAGAATTTTTAGTACAGCCCTGAAAGACAGTTCTACCACTGCTGGAAGAGATTTAGGGTTCAGCAATGTGTAGGATTCCTATCCACTTGATGGCAGCAATACCACACTGTTCACTCTGCTGCAGCGAACACACCAAGCTTACCTAGGCTGGAAATATGTTTCTTCCATTAGCACTCAGCCTTAAAATTCTCGTGTGCGATGTACCTATGTCCTGGCTGCACATTAGCACAAACTCTGCTCTTCCATGAAGGACTTGGATTAGCAAACTAACCGGTTTATGCTGCAGAGCTATTGCTCATCAAACTGGTTTACCAAAGATACAGTGCTGCTGTCAAGACTTCTGTTGGGAAAGCAAGGTTTTGTTTGCTTGTTTTGTTGGGGTTTTTTTGCAAGAGAAAGTTATTCTATGAGAAATGTGGGGGTTCTCAAGCTCTGACTTTGCCTGAGGGAAGCTTTTCCCAGACACTGGTTGGCTTGCATGCTCCTGAGCAAGAAGTGACCAGCAAATCTACATTTTAAAACGAACCCTGAGTTTTCCATCAGCCAGCCATCTAGATGGGAACATTTGAATATGCTGTTCTTATTCCAAAGGGAAGATTTCATTTATACATCCATTCATCTTTACAGAAAGGGATTTGTCAATGGTTTTTAAGCATTGTATAACTACTGCAAAACAAATCAGAAGCTATGAAGCCATACAAATATGCATTTCCTTTTCCTGTGCTAGACTTGCTGCATTTTATTTCATATTCAAGCTTCAAACTGCCTGAAGCTGGAAGAAAAATATAACTTCTTTACATTGGGCTGAATCTTGCAGAGTGATAAAAAACTGCCATGGTGGCAAGGACTCTCAGCTGCTTATCATCAATTCAGATTTTAACAGAGTGAGAGAAAATAGGGATGTATGAAGTGAAGGTCCTTTCCCTGAGGATAGCAGCAGGATTCTTGTTTTAACACCAAGGCTATTGGTTCCCATCTCTCTGC